GACTGTGTTAATGAGTGAATTACTGAATCATTTATTCAACCGATTAGTTCAAAAAGCTGATTAATTTGTCGGTGCTGATGGCCTAGTAGGCAGCGCGCCGACATGTAGCGCCATTGCGCTTCGAGCGTCCCGAGTTTGAGTCCCGGCTCGCGGACCTTTCCCGACCCCACCCCCCTATCTTTCACACTTTGCTTCCTGTCAACTTACTGTCCTATCTAAATAAAAAAGGCGTAAAACGCCAAAAATAAAACTTAAAAAAAGCTGATTCATTCAATAAGTAAACACCGTCCATTGCTCAGAGACGCAAAACAGTGATTTGCCGATAAAATAATTGAAAAGCATTTAAAGAAAGTTTTGGTAACACTTTCTATGAAGTCCGTATTTATAATACATTATAAGGGTATTCTTAAGGCATTATAATGAATGCATAATGCATTATAAAAAAACTTATAATATGTTATATCAACTCATGAATAATCATAACAACAGTTATAATACATCATAATACTTACGTATTTGTGGTTATAAGTTTAAGAGTATGATTATTTATAACACACAATGAACACCATATTAAATCTACTTCATTTACAGAATAATGGACTGTATCATATCTTGACATTGTTTATTTAAGATCTGCACAGTATCTTAGTACAGCTTGTGAGTGGTTAGATGTTGAGTGTTATTTGAGTGTTTCCTGTGGAGCTAATGTTAATTAATTGATGTGAACTGAAAAAAATGCAATGTTTTATATGGTTACATTTTATTTTGATGGTCCCCTTAATCAATCGACTCTAAGCAACTTTGCAACTACATGCCAACTAACTCTCATTAGAGTATTAGTATGCTCAAGAATGGTAGAATCTAGTATGGTAGAATAAGTTGACGTACTTGCAAAGACACTTATAGTCAGTTTATCTGTTGGTTGACCATCAAAATAAAGTGTTAGCAAATATTTACAGTAGCAGACATACTAATACTCTAATGACCGCTAGTTGATATGTAGTTGCAGAGTCACTTATCAACAGCTGTCTAAAGGGTGCCATCAAACTGATATTACAATAAAAATAGTTCAAAGCAAATGTGTCATATTACACATTCATCTGATCTGATATCTGATCTTTATGGCTGTTTGAGAAAAAAAAATATTACTATTATTATTACTATACTTATACGTGGTCTTTGATTGCTTTAAGTAGCATAAGAAAGATGGCAAGATATGAGACTTATAATACATTATAACTATGAGAAATATAATCCATTGTAACTTAAGTGGATACAACGTTCACTGTGTGTTAAAAATCATCATACTCTTAAAAGCTATAACCACAAATAAGTAAATATTATAATGCATTAAAACTGTTCTTATGAATATACGTAAGATGATATAACATATTATATTATAAAGTTTTTTTTATAATGCATTATGCATTCATTATAATGCCTTAAGAATACCCTTATAATGTATTATAAATATGGACTTCATAGAAAGTGTTACCAAACTTATTTATTAACTATTATGTATTTTATTTTTTAAAAGGCTTCCATCATGTTCAAATTACACCTGCATATTGTGGGGTTTTGCCCAAGTTTTCAAGTAACGTTCTATTGCACTTTGCCAAATGTAAATTTTGATTTTTCAAGTTGAATGGAAAGCAGGAAAAGTGCTCATATTGGTGATATAATATTAGTTTGAATTTATTAGATCAAAAATACAATAAAAACAGTAATATGGTGAAATTTTATTATAATTTAAAATAACTGTTTTCTATTTGAATATATTTTAAAATATAATTTATTCCTGTGATGCAAAGCTGAATTTTCAGGATCATTGGTCTTCAGTGTCACATGATCCTTCAGAAATCTATTATGAAATCAGAATTCTAATATGATGATATAGTGCCCAAGAAACTTGGGTATTTTTTAATCAATGTTGAAAACAGTTGAGTAAATGACTTTGGGTAATGTCACTTTTGATCAATTTAATGCATCCTCGATGAATAAAGGTATTGATTTCTTTCAAAAAACGGACCCCAAACTTAGTACGGTAATGCACATGTTTTTTTTTATTTATTTAGATATACAGTATGTTTTATGGATATGGATGTACAGTAAATACGTGTGTGTGTGTGTGTGTGTGTGTGTGTTTTGTCTGCAGTACCTTCATCATCGAAAAGCAGCCTCCTCAGGTGCTGAAAACACAAACTAAATTTGCGGCAACAGTGCGTTTGCTGGTAGGTGGCAAACTGAACGTGCACATGAACCCACCGCAGGTCAAAGCCACCATCATCAGCGAACAACAGGCCAAGGCCCTGCTCAAGAACGAAAACACCAGAAAGTGAGCAGAAACACAACACATTGTATTTAGTAACTCCTCTGGGTGTTGTTGATGACTCACTGTGAACTGGCCTAATGCGCCCGCCCGGAGCTGCTAAAACAAAGCATGTTTCATCAGAAGCCCCCTGATACATCATCCTACTGTATTTACTAACGCACAATTTTTATGCACAAACCCAATTTTGACCTGACTTTGTCATTTAATTAACCTAGATCTTGGTTCAAATGTTCATCTCCATTTTTTTGTACGACTATATGCAGAATAATGTTTTCTGTATTTGTATGTGTCTGTCTAACAGTGACAGCAGTGGTGAGATCTTGAATAACAACTGTGTGATGGAGTACCACCAGACCACAGGCACTCTCAGTGCACACTTTAGAAACATGGTGAGTGCAGTGTGGCCGTCTAAAGTCTGACTTTAGAGAAAACTCCTATAAGATGAGTGTGTGAACTTGACTGAAGGGATTTATAAGTACACTGTCAGCCACCATTTAAGTTCATTCATAATTTACTCTGTACCTTCTTAGAGAACAGAGCTCTATTCTCGAGTATGCATCAACAATGAATTCAGTTAAGCAACACATGACCCTGTAAAGCCTGTCATATAAATCAGTACTCATAAAAATAGAACAGCTTATTGAACCTTTAGATAGATATGATATAATAGGCTGTACAGGGTAGCAATTTATGAGCAAAATATCAAACCAAGTAGTATCTCAGCACTAATGTTTCTTTTAAGAAAATAATTACATTTCTGTGCATTTATCAACCAGAAAGTCTCCAAATGATCCTGCCTTAATTTGTGCAGTATATTATATTTTATAATCAAAATGAAGTCCAAATTAAAAATTCAAAAGTGCTTATGCTTTTGGTTAAGATAATTTAACACTTGGTTAGATAATTTATCTAATTTTACAGTCCTATTTTTTTTATGCAGTGAAGGACATTTGTAAATGTTGCTTGAGTACTTTTTTTGGGGTGTTTTATGTGATAGTGACTCGTGATAAATAAATGTAACTGCTTATAATAAAGTACATATCTATTTTTCTCTATTCTTTCTCATGTGTCCTGTAGTCTCTGAAGCGGATCAGGCGTTCAGACCGTCGAGGGGCGGAGTCTGTTACAGAGGAGAAGTTTACCATTTTGTTTGAATCACAGTTCAGTGTTGGGGGAAATGAGCTGGTATTTCAGGTTAAGGTGAGCAAATCACCATTAGTAAACGTTATCTGTCAGGAACCACTTAAAGCAATGCAGCAAAATTATAACAGTTCAATTTCAACGATCCATGCATTAATGACTGTGTAAAATTAGGGCCAGTGTTACATTTCAGTTCATTCAGTCAAAATGAATGATTTAGTAGATTTTTTTGCTGTAAAAAGCAAACAATTATGTTTTTTTATATTAGTGCTGTACATTACTGTTCAGTGTTTGGTGTAGTGCAATTTAAAATAACTCATATATTTTAAAATGCCATTTATTTCTGTGATTCTAAAGCTGAATTTTCAGCATCATTACTCCATTCTTCAGTGTCACATGATCCTTCAGAAATCATTCTGTGCTCAAGAGCACCATAATATATAATAAAGTAATTTACAAAATCGTTGACTTGATAATCGTAATCGAATCGAATTGTGAAACCAGTGGCGATTCACACCCCCATCACCTTTTGTACGACTATGCAGAATAATATTCTCTGTGTTTGTATGTGTCTGTCTAACAGTGACAGCAGTGGTGAGATCTTGAATAACAACTGTGTGATGGAGTACCACCAGACCACAGGCACTCTCAGTGCACACTTTAGAAACATGGTGAGTGCAGTGTGGCCGTCTAAAGTCTGACTTTAGAGAAAACTCCTATAAGATGAGTGTGTGAACTTGACTGAAGGGATTTCTAAGTACACTGTCAGCCACCATTTAAGTTCATTCATAATTTACTCTGTACCTTCTTAGAGAACAGAGCTCTATTCTCGAGTATGCATCAACAATGAATTCAGTTAAGCAACACATGACCCTGTAAAGCCTGTCGTATAAATCAGTACTCATAAAAATAGAACAGCTTATTGAACCTTTAGATAGATATGATATAATAGGCTGTACAGGGTAGCAATTTATGAGCAAAATATCAAACCAAGTAGTATCTCAGCACTAATGTTTCTTTTAAGAAAATAATTACATTTCTGTGCATTTATCAACCAGAAAGTCTCCAAATGATCCTGCCTTAATTTGTGCAGTATATTATATTTTATAATCAAAATGAAGTCCAAATTAAAAATTCAAAAGTGCTTATGCTTTTGGTTAAGATAATTTAACACTTGGTTAGATAATTTATCTAATTTTACAGTCCTATTTTTTTTATGCAGTGAAGGACATTTGTAAATGTTGCTTGAGTACTTTTTTGGAGGTGTTTTATGTGATAGTGACTCGTGATAAATAAATGTAACTGCTTATAATAAAGTACATATCTATTTTTCTCTATTCTTTCTCATGTGTCCTGTAGTCTCTGAAGCGGATCAGGCGTTCAGACCGTCGAGGGGCGGAGTCTGTTACAGAGGAGAAGTTTACCATTTTGTTTGAATCACAGTTCAGTGTTGGGGGAAATGAGCTGGTATTTCAGGTTAAGGTGAGCAAATCACCATTAGTAAACGTTATCTGTCAGGAACCACTTAAAGCAATGCAGCAAAATTATAACAGTTCAATTTCAACGATCCATGCATTAATGACTGTGTAAAATTAGGGCCAGTGTTACATTTCAGTTCATTCAGTCAAAATGAATGATTTAGTAGATTTTGCCGTAAAAAGCAAACAATTATGGTTTTTATATTAGTGCTGTACATTACTGTTCAGTGTTTGGTGTAGTGCAATTTAAAATAACTCATATATTTTAAAATGCCATTTATTTCTGTGATTCTAAAGCTGAATTTTCAGCATCATTACTCCATTCTTCAGTGTCACATGATCCTTCAGAAATCATTCTGTGCTCAAGAGCACCATAATATATAATAAAGTAATTTACAATTTGTTTCATTCATTTTTCTCATCCACTAATTTTTCCCCCCAGACTCTCTCTTTGCCTGTGGTGGTAATTGTCCATGGAAGTCAAGACAACAATGCCACGGCTACCGTTCTGTGGGATAATGCATTTGCTGAACCGGTGAGTTACTGAAACATCAGTGCATCTTTTGGGTGGAAGGTGTAGAGGTTAAAGTTCAGGCCATCATTACTGTGCCCTTGAGCAAAAGTACTTAATACCAGGTCGGTTGTGCCTGCAATAAGATCATGAGGCCATTGTATAGCGATATCACATGAAAGTCATGGAAACAATTTCCAAGGTCATGTGGCAATAAATAAAGGTCCTATAACTTAACTATGTTAAACATCACAAAGTTCGGCCCTGCCTTGACAACACGCAAGACTCATTCTCCCAACCATACATAATGTAATTTCTCTCCCACTCACCAGGATCTCAAACTCCCCTCAACAAACCTGTCATGTTTCATAGCGTGGGTGTTGATTGGATGGCTGGTGGCATATGACTCATATCCCTTTACTCTACATACTCTACCCTTATTCTCTTTAAAGGAACAGTGCATCCATAAATTTAAATCCTGTCATTACTCACCCTCACGTCATTTCAAACCAGTACTTTTTTCTATCCTGGAACACAAATGGAGAAGTGAGAGAATAACAATAAAAGCATTATATAAGTAGTCCATATAAGTCCATACAGGATTTGCAGGGTTTGTGTAAAATATCAGATCATCATGAGTTACCAATATGGTTTTCTTCAAGGCAGCAGTATACAGAATATGTTAGATATTTATGCAAATCAAGCAGGATGTGACGAGTGAAGGAGTTGATGTAATATATCCCTCTACGCTGTTGCTTTCCTAAAAACACAACCTTAAAACCAAAGTGATTGTGACCCACTGAGAACCTGCCTAATGAGACACTTTCTAACTATAAAAGGTTAAAAAAGAATGTATGATAATGTACTCATTTTCTTGTTCTCTCTCAGGGACGGGTGCCTTTTATTGTGCCCGACAAGGTGTTGTGGCCGCAGTTGTGTGAGGCTCTGAATATGAAGTACAAGGCCGAGGTGCAATCAAATCGAGGTCTGTCTGAGGAGAATCTCGTCTTTCTTGCTCAGAAAGCCTTCAGCAGCTCCAGCGTCAACCCGGAGGACTACCGCAACATGACCATGACCTGGTCGCAGTTTAACAGGGTAAATACGCTACTCACACTCAACCACTGTACTGAACTAAATGACTGTGTTTAGCAGGTCAAAACTCCTCTGTACAATCTATTTGCTATTTGACCCCCATAAACCAACAGTCAATTAGTTTTTAGGATGTTTTGTCCACTTATTTTAGTGTTTTCTTTGACTAGATAGTTCTTTATACACAAACACACACAGAGACACTACTGTTCAAAAGTTTTGGGTGAGATTTTTGTTTAAGTAAGTCTCACCAAGGCTGCATTTATTTGATCAAAAATACAGTAAAACAGTAATATTGTGAAGTAGTTTTACATTTTAAAATAGCTGTTTTTTATTTTAATATGTTTTAAAATGTAATTTATTCCTGTGATGGCAGTAAAGCTGAATTTTCAGCATCATTACTCATGTCTTCAGTGTCAGATGATCTTCAGAAATCATTCTAATATGCTGATTTGCTGCTGAAGAAACATTTCTTATTATTATCAATATTGAAAAAATTTGTTCTGCTTATTATTGTGTGTGTTCTTCAGTTTGGAACGACATGAGGCTGAGTAATTAATGATTTTGTTGTTGGGTGAACTATCCCTTTAATGTGTCCTTCAAAATATCTTACAGATCCCAAACTTTTGAAACTGTTTTCAATGTTGAAACATAAATAGGCAAAGTAACTGCCAATACTGGATTTGAAATGTAAGTTACGGTTTTAAAATAAAATATCAGTCATAATGACACATTCCATGCTGTCGCAAATCAAGATCCCTGCATTCAGTTGCACTCGGTATTGAATATAATTAGTTTTGTACTTCAGTATTACTCATAAAATCGTGGTTTTGACAGCTGTACATGCGCTTTGATTAAGCTGAAAGCAGTATGGCCTATTATTTTGTAAAAATTCTGACTGTGACTGTGACCTGCTGTTTGTTACCCAAAAGCACCACCGTTATCGAGCGACGTTCTAATAGATGGTTTAATCCCAAACTAGTGTCTCCTCGTTCTGACTTTGTTTCTTTATTTTAAGTGGCAATCCATCAACCTGGGGCAGAATGTTAGCTGATCTGATCAACATTGCTTCTCGTCCATTGCAATAGTTAATGGTTATTCAGGAAGTGAGGTTTGATCTGAGAGCTTTTGATGTGCAGGCAGGCAGGCCTAAGGCTGTGGCTGCCTTTGAAACGGCCCTTTGCTGATCTGCTACATTGAGCGGGCAGTGTTCCCAACGAAGGCCTTTGGAATTCAGGCATCGTTTGTGTTTATGGCTTTGTTTATTTAGTCACTGATACAATACTCACATATGCACACAATTGCACAAATACAAAGTTATCTTGAAAACACGCTAATGATTTGATGCTTTCATACAGTGGGATGCAAAAGTCCGTGAACACATGTGGAAATGCATGTGGAAATTTGCATTAAACACAAGATGAATTGATTACAATTTATGATCAGCTTTGATATGATTAAATGATTATACTTTTATAGGAACAATTTGAGTCAAAAGTTAAATAGAAAAGTATATATGAATTATACAGTATATAAACTTGCTGATTCTCAAAATAATTGATTAACTTTGCAACACTGACACTGTTATTGAAATAAATCAAATAAATAAATACAGAACTAAATAGCTGAATTTAGTTCAGTGAATTGAAATTATAACTGCTTTACAACTGAAATCTTTTTTTTTTCAAAACGGATTAATTTTGCAGCATTAAGACTCTTATTTTCCTGCTTTTCTAAAGCTACTTTGAAACAATCTGTATTGTATACAATACTATGTAAATAAATGTGACTTGACTATTTATTTCCATGTCTAAATTAAATCCTAAATTCCGAATTTGAACCCGATTGTACATGTTCAAGAGACATCCGTGTGTTTGTGATCTGCCATGCTAACTGTTGAAACGGTCAGGACATAGGACATTGTGTTCTAAGAAATAGAGTGATTAAAGTGAAAGAGATGAAGATGAACGCTTCCTGTCTTCACTCCTAACTAATGTGACTTTGCTTGTGAATCACTGATTAAAAACAGAATGAACATGAGGCAGTGGATCATGCTCTCGTTCAGGCAGTCATGCCTGTGTTTCTTAAGCCCCGAATGTTCCCTTTACCCCCACACACACGTCTAGCTGTTTACTGTCTGATTCATGTCAACTCCATGTCTATTTCCAATGAATGCATCACTTGCGAGGAAAACGTACCAGGAATTCAGCAGATAGTTTTTTTCATACTTTCATCATGCTTTATTTTCCATAACTGTTAAAACGTCTGTGAGGAAACAAGCTTCAAACATGCTTTGATGATGTTTTAGTCTAAGACGTGCTACTAAGGCTTATTTAACACTTTCTTTACACACACTGTATAAAAAGTTAATCTATTTAGGTAAATATTGTAAGTGAACTTAAGGGGATGAAGAAATTGACAATTCTCTGATTATTTACTCACCCTCATGTTGTTCCAAACTTGTGTTTCATTCTTCTGTGCAACATGAAGATATGTGAAGAATATTGCTAACCAAACTGTTATAGTGACCACTGACTTTCTTTATATGGAGAAAAAAAAAACATTTCTCAAAGTATCTTAATATATTATTATTATATAATAATATATATAAAGTATAAATGATGACATTTTGATATTTGGGTGAACTATCCCATAAAAATGTTGCATTATCATATTATACATCCCTAATCTAAACTTAACAACTACCTTAGTAACTATTAATAAGCAGCAAATTAGATGTTTATTGAGGTAAAAGTCATAGTTAATGGTTTGTTAATAGCGAGAATTGGACCTTAAAATAAAGTGTGACTGTATCAGCTCTATACAAAGTGTTCCCTTTTTATATCACATTTCTCAAGTTACTAAATATGACAACAAAATCAGCAATAGCAATTTTGTAGTTAACAGGTTAGCTATTGAATGTCAGAGATGTGAAGACCTGTACTGAGAGGTCAGAAAAACACACAGAGACAGAAGTGAGTGTGTGTGTGTGTGTGTGTGTGTGTGTGCTTACTCTGGCACTACTTGTTTGATCTGTGGTTTGACGTATCCGTCCACAGCTTTAGCTGGAGAGGAGGGATAAAGTTGTAAATGTAAATGAAGCCATATTATCTTTTCATGCCCTTGTCAGTGCCTACTGGGAAAAGGTCTAAATTAACTGAACCACATAAAAAAATAACTTTATTTAAAAATAAAAGTTTTTATTAGTATTTTGTAATAGAAAAGCTGCATTGAGATGGTTCAGTTTTGTTTCTATTGTACTGTATGTTTTTAGAACTTACAGAATACAAATTTAGGTAAATCTTTGGTTGTTTTTTTTTCCCCCAGCATCATTTATTTAGCATCATTATATTTACTGTGCATGTTAGTCTTTTAAACCTGATTTGTTTGTTGTCATTGTAGGAGAGTTTACCAGGCAGGAACTTCACTTTTTGGCAGTGGTTTGATGGTGTGATGGAGCTTACTAAAAAACACCTGAAGCCTCACTGGAATGATGGGTAAGACCTGACCTCAGTGAGAACACAAACAAATAGAAACATCACACTCCTACAGATTTAATGTTAAAGATAAAAATTCATCCATGTGTAAAAGCTAAAAAAAAATCACTTTGTTGCTGCTCAGTCATTGAACGAACAGAAAGAAATAGAGTAAGAGACGTTGCTCCTGTCTGCCCTCACATAACAATGACATCTCTCACTTTCAGCTGAGAGCGCTGCCGGTTATGCCGCATGACCCAGCAGGGGGAATTTCACAAAGAAATGACAGTGACGTTTGTTCGTATGTGACTTTAAATGGAAAATGCACATAATTAACAGACAAGAAAAATTTAACATTTATTTATTTCTGAAAAGAAATTGGGTCAAAAATCATGGACACTTCTGATAGTTTTGGTAAATTTCACCTGGCCACTCTGCTGGAAAATGTTAGACATAATGAATTACATTCTTAAATCTGGTTGAGTGGTATAAAATGGGTATCTTCATTATGAAGTGTTTCTTTGCCATGGCAACTGGCTGATTGAGAGATAGTGCTGGTTAAGACTATACATTAAGGCATTAAACCACGGATGGATTAACACAGGAGTAAGATCAGAGAGACCTCGCTTTAGTTTTTTTGCTTATCTTTTTCTCATTCAACCCCCAGTTTATCAATATCTTGTAATCCTTTGTATACAAATCATGATGAAACTGAACAGTACACAGAAGATAACAGTCTCTCTGTTTTTGTGAGTGTAAACATCCTTTAATGAATTCATGTTTGTGTTCGTGTGCTTGTATGTCTCAGGGCGATTCTTGGCTTTGTGAATAAACAGCAAGCTCAGGACATGCTGATGTCCAAACCCAACGGAACCTTCCTGTTGCGCTTCAGTGACTCGGAAATTGGCGGCATCACTATAGCCTGGGTAGCAGAGAACCCTAACAAAGCAGGTAGAACCATTGCTTGGCTCCTTCACTGCCATTCCTTAACACAAACCTGACGTAGTTGTACTATATAATATTAATGTATAATAGGAACATCTTATACATGGTATTTCAAAACAAATCACTTACAGTGGCTTTAAATGCTCTTAAAACTAGTTCAAAACGTCTGTGTGTATTTGTGTTCTTCATAGGAGAAAGGATGGTGTGGAACCTCATGCCATACACAACCAAAGACTTCTCTATCCGCTCCTTGGCAGATCGCATCAGCGACCTGAATCATCTCCTGTTCCTCTATCCTGACCGGCCCAAAGACGAGGTCTTCTCCAAATACTACACCCCTCCGCTGTGTAAGCTTGATCTCTAATTATCTACATATTATTCATCTTTTTTGACATTATATACATACACACAAACTATCATTCAAAGGTTTTGGGGTCAGAATTGTTATTTATTTTTTGTGACAGTAAAGATAATTGTAATGTTATGAAAGATTTTTATTTCAAGTATGTTAAAAATGTCTATAAATGAGTTTTGAACTTTTATTCATCAAAGAATCATGAAAATCACAGTTTCCACAAAAATATTCAGCAGCACAGCTGTTTTCAAAATGAATAAAAAAGATGATATTTTGAGTACACATCATATTATAATGATTTCTGAAGAATCATGTGACACTGAAGACTGGAGTAATGCTGAAAATTCAGCTTTGCATCACAGGAATGAATTACATTTTATAATATATTAAAACAGAAAAAAGTTATTTTAAATTGTAATAATATCATAAATTATTGCTGTTTTTACTGTATTTTTGATCAAATAAATACAGCCTTGGTGAGCCTTGACATATTTCAAAAACTGAAACATTTTTTGCAAGCCCAAACTTTTGAATGGTAGTGTATGTACTTATTTATTTCTTGAAATATGTATTCAAAATGATTTATATGCACAAATATTACATTAAACATTAAAGGATTTTTGAAATCTAAGAGAGTTAAAAGTTTCTAAATGATTTACTTAAAAGAACAAAATGAACCGATTCATGAAAATGAATTAAACTTACCGTCTACTTTGAAATCAGGGACACTGTAAAACATCTGTTTTTGCACCTGTATACTCACAAGTGACGACACAAGGCAGGATTGTGAAAGTAGTATAACGACACCATCCTTAGGAAAATAATTGTCGTATTAAAAGCACATTAAAATCATCACAGTATGCACAATGTTGCTTATTTTTTTATAGCCTGTAAAAATCATTATATGTACATTGCTAGCCTGTGTGTGTTTATGTCATTGTGTTTAAATGAGAGTGTAACACTCTGGCTAATCTAGTGTGTTTGTGTTTGTCTGTGTGTGTTCTCATTCACACACAGTGTGAGCCAGTGTTATGTTATGGTTTAGGAATAATCTGTTTATATTTCCCTCCTCTCCAGCTAAAGCTGTGGACGGATACGTCAAACCACAGATCAAACAAGTAGTGCCAGAGTAAGTACACACACACACACACACACACTTCTGTCTCTGTGTGTTTTTTTCTGACCTCTCAGTACAGGTCTTCACATCTCTGACATTCAAGAGCTAACTTGTTAACTCCAAGCGGTAAACCTAATTGCACACTAGCATATTAGTGCTGGCCTAGCTCTGTGGGCAGTTATTGGTTGCCATGGATACTTGAGACTCTCGTTCCACTCCTCAGCATATACTTAGCTTTGTTAGCCTCATTAGCAGCATTATTTATCCATAGGTGGACGACCCCATTGGTCTTGTTAGTGAGCCTTCCACTTCGGTCAAACTCAGCAGGGAATCGTACACCATCAGACTCAGATAATTCAGTTCTTCTCATCAGCATTCTGAGGGAGCGATTATCAATTTAGCTCTTCATTTTGAGGGTTAGCAAGAGCTCTGACCGCTAGCACCTGCTAGAGTGTGTAGAGTAGTAACAAGCTGTGAACTAGAGCTGAACAGAATGAATGAGCTTTTGTTAGTTATTTTTGAAGCTTTCTGATATTTTATTGAGGGAGAGAGAATAGAAGAATGACAGGAGCTGTTACGGGAAGCTGTATCAATTAATATATATCAGACTGGATTCAAACTCATTCCTCAATATTAGATGAAAAATGTATACTTAAAACCTTATAAATGTAAAAAGAAAAAAGAAAAAAAAAAGAAAATGTTGAAGTCGAAAGACTAAAATTACTAAAATTACATTTAACTCAAATAAAAATAAATTAAAACTAAATATTAAAAAATAACTAATCAAAATGACAAAAGTATAATATAAAAATGAAAAAGATAAAAATAAAAGCTAATTAAAAATAAGATTAAATACTGTAACAGAATATAAATAATACTAAAATAACACTAATGATGTTAAATTTAAACGATTTATGTGTGCGTCTGTGTTCATGCAGGTTTACGACACCTAACCCAGACCCTGCAGCAAACCCCACCTACATGGACCATGCGGCATCTCCAGCTGTCAATCAACCACATGCTTATGGACTCTATCCTCCCATGTGAGTGTTTCTGTCTGCCTGTATGTTTCTGCATCAGGGTTGTTATTAACTAAAACCAAAACTAATCAAAATCATTTTCGTTAATTGAAATAAAATGAAATAGAAATATTAGACAATTAGAAATGCTGCTTTGGCAAATAACACAAATAAAATAAGTTGAAGTAGTAATATTTCTAAAATTGAAATGTAAGAATAAAAATGTAAGCTACATATAAAAATTACAAAAAGCACAACATTTTTATTATTTAAGTAATTTGAATATGATTCCCAGTATATGTGTCACGCTACGGTGGAATGAAACACACGAGGAAGATGATGAGCAATGCAAACAGTCTTTAATAAATCCACACAAGGGTAAATCTAGGACAGAACAGGCAGGAGCACACGTAGGGACATAGTAGACCGGACAGGTGGTGGTGAAGCCCAAAGCGGAGATGGAGAGCCGAAGATCCAGGGCGACGGGGAGGATCCGGAGGGCCAAGGCGGAGCAGATGGCTCCGGCGACTGAGGCGGAGGCAGGGATCTGGGAGGCCGCGGTGGAGCGGGAGCGACAGAGGACCGAGGTGGAGCCGGAGGGAAGGAGGAGCCTGACGGAGCAGGAGGGACGGAGGGACGAGGTGTAGCCATAGGAGTGGAGTCCCGAGGTGGCGGATGGTCGACTACAGACCAAGGCTGAGCTGGAGGGAGCTAGGAGCCATGGTGGAGCCGCTGGGTCGAAGGGCCGAGGCGGAGTCTGGGACTCAGAGGCTGGAGGCGGAGACAAAGGATCCTCCAGCCACGACGCTGATGGAGACTGGCAGACCCGCGGCGATCCCACCGCACGGATGGTGAGCTGAGGGGCTGCCAGGAGACAGCGGAGGCGATGGTGAGGACTGATACAGAGGAGGTGGGAGAGGGAGGCTGGGCGGGAGTTCAGAATGCTCAGGAGGATTTGACACGGTGTGTGCTGCCCACACACACCATAAGGCCACTTCCAGCACCGTGAGCGCCAGTGACAAGGGAACGACCACCGTGGTTGTTATAGTACAGGCAGATAGTTCAGGGCAGACAAATATTTCCAGACTGACAGACAGTTCAAGGCAAGACAGACAGTTCAAATACGAACTCCCGGTTGATTCAGGACTGACAGAAGATTCAATCACAACCTCTGTGGTCTTGACGGGACAGACAGATGATAATGGCGGGGGAAGACAAGGCATATCCTCGGGGCGCAACCTCAGCTCACCCCTAGCGGTGGGCGGGGCAATCCTCTGTGCCCTCGATCCCTACTGACACTTCCACCGTTGCGTGTCTAACAGTCGGTACGCGCACCTGGACTGACATCGATTGAGGCTCTGGCTCTGAGGCGATCCTCAGCTCTGTCGCTCTCCTCGGCTCGTCGGTCGCAGCGGGTTCTGGCTCTCCGTCAGCGGTGGGCTCATACTGTAGCTCCGCGAAGCAGGGTGGTGGTAGGCTGGGCTCTGGGTCGACCATAATAACACAAAAGAAAAACTTTACAAACAAAAACAAAACGCAGGGAAACACGCCGCGTTACTTTCACTTCTAGTTCCGGTCTTCTTTCACACTACAGTGGAATGAAAAGCACAAGGAAGATGATAAGCAATGCAAACTGTCTTTAATAAATCCACACAAGGGTAAATCCAGGACAGAACAGGCAGGAGCACACGTAGGAATGTAGTAGACCGGACAAACACAGACTAGGACTTAAATACATGGGATGACGAGGACAATTAATAAGACACACCTGAACCAAATGACACAATCAAACATTAGGGAAAACTAGGTCACGGAGCACATGAGGGATGAAAACACAACAAAAACAGTCCAGGGGTGTGACAATATGTTTATCACTTTTTTACCATGCTTAAAGGGATAGTTCACCCAAAAATGAAAATTCTGTCAATAATTACTCATCCTCATGACGTTCTAAACGCGTAAGACCTTATTTAGATATTAAATTAAGATTTTTTTTTTATCAAATCTGAGAGCTTTCTGACCCTGCATAGACAGCAACGCAACTGACATGTTCAAGGCCCAGAAAGGTAGTAAGGACATTGTTAAAATAGTCCATGTGACATCAGTGGTTCAACTGTAATTTTACGAAGCAGGTATTTCTTTGCTCACAAAAAGTATTCTCGTAGCTTCGTAAAATTACGGTTGAACCCCTGATGTCACATGGACTATTTTAACAATGTCCTTACTACCTTTCTGGGCCTTGAACATGTCAGTTGCATTGCTGTCTATGGAGAGTCAGAGAGTTCTCGCATTTCATTCAAAATATCTTAATTTGTGTTCTGAAGATGAATGAAGGTCTTTTCATTTTTGAGTAAACTATCCCTTTAAATCAATTCTGCAGCTTTCTCCTTCAAATAAACATAGAAAATATCTGTTGATTTCACTGTATATATAATAACAGCTTTTATAGTAAACAACCCTCTAAAATGTGCTGTATATACTATGGAATTGATGTAATTGGATATGAATTATCAAGATTATTGTTTTCAAACTATTCAATGTAACTCGATCTCTCTCTCAGTGGAGACCCTATGTTGGACGCTGATGGCGATTTCGATCTGGACGACACCATGGATGTAGCGAGGCATGTAGAGGAACTGCTCCGTCGACCAATGGAGGGCCAGTGGAGCGGCCAGCAGTCATGACCTCTTGACCTATGACTTCTCTCCCTAAACAATGTTTTTTTTTTAAAATACATTTTTCTCCTTCTACTCTTAGTGTATTTTCCCCATTTGTTTCTCAGTGTGGGTCTTCTCGACTTCTTTTTCTCCGTCATCACACCTCTTTCTCTTTCCCCCATCCCTTGTTTCTGTAGAAGAGAAAGGAGCTAATGGAAGAAGAAAAAAATACTATGAGCCTTCCTCTAATTAAATACCACCAAACAGTATTGTAGAAAAAAAGAGAGAGAGAGATGCATGTTATCTATTTTCATTTGTGCGTGAGGTGTTTTTTTTGTTTTTTTTTTAATGACTTTTCGCAGAACGAATCTGTGAAACCCTTAAGCCGAGATAAACTACTGTAAGGAACATTTTTATGTTTTTCAAACTGTTTTATGGTTGTCATTTTATTTCCAGGGTGTTCAGATATCTACTGCATCTGAAGTAAATGCATATTATCCTTTGCACTCTTAAACGAATGCTTTCTTGCAGACTATGACATTATTGTTACCATATGGCGATTGCAATGTAACGCTTCTGTACACTAAAGAGTGTTTAGGTTGCAAGGCTGTTAACATTCGGTGCAGCTACATCTACGTCTGTGTTTAATCTGAACCGTGAACACAAGTTACATCCGCATCCAAACCAGCAGCACACAACCTGTCACTCACATCACCGAGACTGAGGCACACATGAGAAACACACATGCGCCCGCTCGCATCCGTCCCGCGTAAAGCGATGGAAACACATTGGGCAGAGAGAGGTCCGCTGAGCGTCTGGGCTCACGCTACACTACACAGGCCGTCTCTCGCTCTCTGTCTGTCTCTCTCCAGTGCAACAGGTGATGACCTCATCTGTTCTCACGCTTTCCTCTCGGAACAAAACGAGATCCCGTCGTCATGGTTACACATGTGCTGCTCCTTGTATTCTCTTAACTGGCCATCCCATAGGTTCGCATTTCTGCATGTTACCGAACCTGCATCTTTGTTTCTCTCGTACTCTGCATACTCTGCCTTGGCCACTCAGGACATTGACGTACAGTTGATGTAAAATACAAATAATAGTAATAATAAAATATAAATAAAAATGACACAATTAAAAGAAAGTACCTATATCCAATATATATGAAATGTATTTTTTGTTAACATATTTCTATTTTATTACTGTAGGGCGCTAGATGGCTCCGGCCCTCTGTGTAGTGCAAAATGGCATTTTACTGTGTCTGATTGTTGGTAGAAGCCCTGATGTAGTGATCAGAAATCAGTACTCAAACGGCACAAAGGGTTCGGTCGCTGCCACCTCTGTAGCTTCACTTCAGATTTCAGCTGAGCTTTCGCATGGAAGAAAAAGCCAAACAGTGAAGTTAGCACGAAGAGACGTTTCCTGTGTGCTTACTGTATGTGTAACCTGCAAACCTGACTAATGATGCCCATTTTTAGATGCCTGTATTCATTTTTAAAGGATGGTTTGTTCCTCGCAGTGGATGTTGATTTATTTTCCTCTCTCTATTTTTCTGTCATGGCAGAGACACATAGGAAGTTGTGTGATTTTTCTTCATCTTTTTTTATTGTCTTTGTTTTCAAACTGATCTATCATGTTGTTGTTTAGACTGTTTCTCAAGGTGTGTGTATGAGTGAATGCTTGTGTGTGTGTGTGCGCGCGTTGGCATGTTCAGCTCTGCTCTGTTTTGTGTTCGTCCCATGTTTGTAGTTTGGCAGTAGAGAAGAAAAATTGAATTGACAATAAAGTTTTTTTTTTAATAATCTGGACTCCAGCACAATTGGTCTGAGCACTTTGTCTTTGCTGTGAGAATGGAGTGAACGTGGGTTTATAATTGGTGTGATTTCCTTTAGGAGTTTGTGCACCTTGAAATTTAAAAATTACAAACCATTTGTAGTCTTTCTATCCGGTCCTTTGTAAATGGTTTCTGAATAAATTACTGAGAGCAAAGTCATTGTGCTCTTCGCAACCACTCTTCCTAACAGAATGTATCTGAGAAAACACAAGAGTTTATTTTTCTTCATAAACTAAAAACAGACAGTTCCCTTTATGGGCTTCAGTTGTTGGACTCTTCAAGCTGTGAATTAGTTTTCAGCTAGAATGGAAGAAATTATTCAACACAATTCAAGGGACCAAATGTAAAAGTTAAAATCTGTCAGTGAAAACATCATATTGATTGACTGCAAATCTATAAAGACATTACAACCCTGGTTTTCAAAGCTGTTTTCCTGATTTTGAAGGTGAAATGTTCCCCATTTCCTTAGTGGTGTGAAGTATCATGATGGCACATCAGAGCCACACTGCAAGAATGGATGCAGAGTGTTAACATGAATCAACATGCAACAACCACAGTCATTTTTGCAAAATCTGAGCCATTCTCTCACACTTTCAGCATTAAAATCATGTGTATGTAGAAAGAAAAACATAAACAATAAAAACATTTTTATAATCTGTTTTTGACATAAAACTCACAAAGTTTGTCTCAGCTAGGTCTTGGGAAGAGTTGGGGCCTTAGTAGATATGCTAATTGTAAGTTATCTTTGACGATAGTGGTCCTGACAGAATGATAAGTTAGATTAAATGTTAGTGTGAATGTATAGAATGTAAAGATCCTGTTGTTCCCTATGTAATTCACAACATATCTCACAAAAACATTTGTGTTTCCGACGACAACTTAAAATGAAGTAAACTTGCCCCCTCTTCTGGCCGAAATGGGTGAATGCCAGTCCGATGAGAAGCCGCACCAGCAGCGAGAGAACGAATCAATTGACGTATAAGCTCAAACCATCATTCCTCTCAGGAAAATGGTTATCCTTTCATTCATGATTTATAAAAAAAACAATTTACTGAAATTTACCGCCAGGCAGGAGCACATGTGTTATGTCTCTAATTGCAAAGAGAATATTGCTTGAGGAAAGAGCTCATCTGTTGCTTGGAGACAGAAACCTGTGCTTAATAGAGCCATATATAGAAAAACAGTATGCCAGGTAGCTACTGCACTAACAAAAGATGAACCATAAGATAGATCAGAGTCCGCTGATCCGCCCTTTGACCAACAGGTAGGCCTATTGAGAATCAAATAAATTCAGCGACTCGCAAAATTCAGTCGAAGCGGAAAATACATTGGATTTAATCTTTGCAGGACATTCTGAAACAATCAGTGTCACTAAACCTAAACACATTTTGTATTTATTATCTGCATTAAAAATAGCACCTTGTATAGCCTACGCTATCTTTATGATTTTAGCCTAAATAATCTGAACTGATTAGACTCATACTGATTTTATATCAAGCTAAATAGGCTATAAACAGCCTACAGACTAACCTAAATAATAACTCTAAAAGAAAACAACTTGCATTTGCAGAATTTAAAAGGCATCCTAGCCAACATTTGTGTGTGGGGCCCATGTGGGTTTGACATGGGCTGAAAAAGTGGGCCCAAAATGGGATTTAGGCTACTTAATTTATGAATCGTATTTTTAAATTAGCATAGTTTCCATTTGGGAGGACGATTTTGTTAAGCCTCAACTTCTATAAAAAAGCAATTTATTAACAACAAAACGTGTTTTATTAAGAAGACTATTGTTTTTATTATTGTTTTTTTTTTCTTTCGTTTTTCTTATGTTTCTAAATTCCGTTGTCTATCATGTTAATCTTTTAAAGTAGGGCCAGTTAGTGGGTTTTTTTTTTTTTTAGGGAAAACAGCAGTAGGCCTAGCCTATCTGATCAATATTAGTAGGTATTAGAAGTAGATTCTCTGAAATCTTATGTGATGTTCAAATGCACACCCTTCATGTTAACTCTCAATCCCTCTTTACTCAGTGGCGAACTTTAGCTCTTTATTTGCATCCTGGCATGTTCAGTCCTGTTCATTTTCTTGTCACAGAGTAGGTAAATAATCAAATTAAAATCAATGTCTGAGCTTGACTACAGTCTGCTGCGCGCTTTATTATAAATACTTAATTTACAACACAAGCATATTTATTTTTGAGAACCTGTATGCTTAGAGAAGGATAATGCATAAAAGGAATTACCATAACAGTTTTTTCCCGAAATATTTTATTTTTTATATACTGTCCGTCTGCCTCTAGTCACCGAGATTAAGTCATTGTTTTTTTCACCACCAGATGTCGCTGAAACACAACTTGTGAGTGAATTGATAAGATTGGTAAATTTCAGCTCTCGGTTTTGTTTTCACTGTAGCAGTTCAGCGTCTCTTCTCTACTAGCAGTGCACTGATTACATATTCTTGTACCTATTCAACTTAATTCATATCTAAATGTAAAATATTGCATAGTGTTGAAGCTTCGGGTGATTGAATTGTGTTTCTTTGTGCTGCCGTCTCCCCGATGAGTTATTTTGTGCAATGTCAGATCAGTGAGAATTTCAGTGTTGCTTTCGATTCCTCATTCTGTGATCAAACACTGACAGGAAATAATACTATTTTCTCTCTCACACACACGCACACACAGTTGGCTTTCTTTGACACTTTTGCTTTTCAGTACAGTTCTTAGATTTGATCAATTAAAATACTGCAAGAAAATGGTTTTAAAATAAATGTACGGATTGTAATTTTTAACCTCTACCTTAATCTCGAAATAACTGTTCACTTTAAAATGAATATTATATTTAAAAAACGTTTATTAATATTATAGGCTAGTTATGTTGTGCATTTACACTTAAATGACTCATTTGAGTGTAGTTCACTATTAAAAATAAAGGCTCTTCATGATGCCATAGAAGAACCTTTTTGTCTAAATGTTTCCATAAAGAACCTTTAACATCTGAAGAACCTTTCTGTTTCACAAAAGGTTCTTTGTGGCGAAAGAAGGTTCTTCAGATTATAAAAAGGTAAGAAAGAGATGGTTCTTTGACTGAATGGTTCTTTGTGGAACCAAAAATGGTTCTTCTATGGCATCGCTGTGAAGAACCTTTTAAGCACCTTTATTTTTTAAGAGTGTTGTAGCCTGTGAAATGGGTTTTTTGAGTGATTTTTTTTGTCATATGTAAATGTTTAGTGTTGTGCA